TTACCTAAATAGACACATAAAAAAATTAAATAAAAATATATCGTTCTACATTTAACCACTAATATTTAATTTCATAAATTCTTTAGAACTTTTTTATGTTCTTTTAGAATTTGTATTTAACTAAATCCTAATAATCATAAAATATCATGTTCATATAAAATCATAAAATCCTAATAATCGTAAAATATCGTCTTCGACTGAAATTAAAACAACGGTGGAAGAATTACCATTAGCGGAAATACATGAAAACATCAATAAATTTCATTGTGCGGAAAGAAACAATATTGAACCACATGGAGATGAGAAACTATCATTCTTGATGTGATATATAAAATTTTAACAGATAATAATGCATACTAAAACCAAAATCCATCGACAATATGTGAATGCAGAGAGAGATAAAAGTTCCATCTTCCACAATGACCTCTTATATGGAAGCCCCTAAATCCAGGAGGAGTCGAACTGTTTCAACGTGCCCATTAAGTGCAGCCTTATGGAGGGCAGTGACGCCACCATCAGCAGGTCTATTGACGACCTCGTAGAGTGCACTTAAAAGGGCAAAAGAAATATTAAATAACTAAGCGTATTGCATATGCTAAACTCAAAACAAAATTTTCGTAGTTAGGTGATTCTATTCTAATGTTACAGTCTTTTGTTTCCTTTTTATTTTGAGTATACTATTTTTTAACTTGTTTGTTCTTATTTCATTTATGTTTTTTGTTCTAGTGTCACTGTGCATTTTAGCGTCTCCACTGTAGGCAAAGTCCTCGAGCTGATCCATGACACTTAAAAAAAATATGTGACTTTACTGACCGGATAAAATGATTGCTTTTAGCCTCCACCATATATTAAATTGTGCGGTAAAAGGAAAGTAAATTAGGATTTAATGTGAATGACACTTGTACCCCAGTAATCCTAAATATTATTACCATATGTATCCCTATTCCTTCTCTATAAATATAGGGCTTTGGTTCTCATTATAATACACACAAGTCTATTGACAT